CCACTTGTTGCAATGTAGCTTCATTCATACATCTTCTAGTGTAGTCAAGTGTTAGAATTACTAAGGTCTCATTCATTTCACCGATTCGAGTCTTTAGTTCTAAATTTCTACAGTAAAAAGCTATTAAAAAATGTCACATCTAACTTTTTTTGTTACAGTGAAAAACTCTCATAAAATGTCACATCTCAGTTCGAATTGAAAACTCGAATCCACGAAGTGAACGATGCTTGAGTTATGCATACAACTATAAAATATATAATATTAAAAATTTTGTATCCATCTTTTTTTGGGAATTTCTCATATAGGATTTATTTTCAACCATCAATACATCTGTATCAAAAATTATTTACTCTGCATATATTTTTTAATCTAATGTAATTTTAATTAAATTTAATTGTAAAAAATCAAGTCCTACTGATAAGGAGGCCTACCGGATAAACTCTTTTTTTCTTTTTATCATTTGTAAAACACACAAAATCAGAACATATAAAACTAATGAATAAATCAACCACAAGGATCTTTGAGAGAAGGTAACATCATGTTAAATTCACTCCTCGCCGTGTCGTTCTTTGTTTTTTGTTCTTTTATAAAGCACACAGAAATAAAACGCATAAAAGCCACAGACAGATCAACAACAAAATTCTGCAAGAAGATAATATCATAATATACATAAGTGATGGGTGAACCCCACTTATAAAAAAATAGATATATAGTCATGGCTCACTTTACGAGAGTTTTTAATTCAAGTTGAGATGTAATGAGGTTTTTTTTTGTAACAAAACTCAGAAAAAATTTAAATTCGAGTTACAACTTTATTTAAGTTCATGTTCTTTTATAAAATTTGAGTTTGAACTCGAGTTTAGGGCTAAACTCGAGTTCGGAGCTAAACTCGAGTTCAAGTTTTCCCTTCTACTCGAGTTCATAAATTCGAACTCAAGTTAATGAATAGTATTTTTCTATTATGAAAAATGTCATAACTTTTTCGTTTTAATTCTAATTGAGATGATTTTTGTCTATGCATTCACAACGAAAAGACGAATAAAACCCCACCCATATACCTTATTAAAAATTTTCATCACCGTTGAGTTTTTATTAAAATACTATCTAAATGCAAATTTAAGTTTTGACCCACCCAAACACAAATTCAAAAAGATTGTCAATTCAAATCATAATTCAAATGTGCACATTCAAACACAAACTCAAGTTATAACTTTAACTCAAGTTATAACTCAAACTCAATTTAAAATCATCACTCAAGTCACCATAACTCAAAAATGTAAAAGAGCAACTCTAATATTTTTGAGAACTTTTAACTGTAACAGAAAAAAAAATTAAATGTAATATTTTTTAAAAACTTTAACTGTAAATACTTAAAATTAAAAAATTAAATTGGTAAAATAAAAGATACAATAATCATATATTTATATCTTCCAAGCAAACACGACCTTTTAATTATTTTATGCCGAATTTTATAAGCGCCGACAGGGACAAGGAGAGTCAGAAAAAGAGAAGGGGCAAGCGCATGTGATCGAATACCAATGCTGGTGGGAAAAGTCATGGGGTGTGGTAGTTACTGGAAGTTGGAAAACAGTGCCCACAAAGATATTAAATTAAATTAAATCACCTTGAAATAAATAGAAACGTAAAAAGGGTTCCCGCCAAATGGACCTTTTGACAAAAAAAAAAAAAAGAAAAAAAAGAAAAAATGATATGATATTTAGGATATGATTCGATCTAGTATACTTTTAGAAGTTAGAAAGAAAGGGATTTGACGTAATTTAAGGGCCACGTTTTGAAAGCTTAATCTCAATCTTGTGTTATTGGCTGGGTTAAGCGTAATTAATGCAGGGCAGCCCCAGGTATGAGCATGTCATTAATTAGGGCGGAGAAGGTCTGACTAATTACTGTCTATCTCACCCCATGAGACCACATGATTTATTGGTCCACTAAAAGGGTCCCACTTCGATCCCCATGTGGGCGTGGCTTTAAACAGACCAGAGCATTCAATTTCCTATTACGTTCTCAAACCATAATTGTTGGCAGTTAAAAGATTAGGTACACTTCTTTAAACCCTTTATGTTATTAAAGATTTGAGGATGGTTAGCTACTCTTTTTCATCGCACTTTATTGTCACCTAACTCTACTAACGTAACACATTATTATTTAAATAAAAAATAAGATAATAGAGTTTATGTGTTAAATAATAAATACAAGAGAGTAATAAAAAAGTGAGCTAACATTCTCTTTAGAAGTTTTTTCGATAGAACTTGAAATCGATAGGTTTCTGTTTTTGAACCATAAGATCTATATTAATAGTTCTTATATTCTGCATACTTGGGGTGTTTTAAACCGGACCTAATAGTCAAAGAGCAATGTTTCTATTCATGGGGAAAAGAGACTTGTCTTAGAACCAGTTCACATGTAAAAAGGGACAAGAGGGGAAGGCAGCAGGCAAATTGGAAATAGAGGGGACCTTGACCTTATCCAAATGCCTTTGAAAATGATCCTTCTATTAGATTTGGACCCATAAATATATATAAGATGAGAATTATTAACATTATTTTTTTTTATCAGTCTTAATATTTTCAGTCTGACATGTAAATTATACTAACATATTATATTATTTTTAAATAAAAAATGAAATAATGAAGTCTACATATCAAGCAATGAACATAGAGAATGATAAAAAAAGTAACGATAGAGATACAATAATATCAAATCTCTCTCAAATCTGAAATCTCTCTCTCTCTGTGCTTGTCCCTGCGGCAAGGACCAGACATTGTTGCGTATAAAATCAATGGAAAAAAGGGGCAAGGAAGCAGCCGACTAAGATAAAACGCGCAACTAACCACCGAATGATTCCCAAGTGTTTGATATGTTTTTCGTTTCTTTTTTCGGGCTTTCTAAGATTTGATATACACCACTGTAGAGTATGTTTTTGAATATTAAATTTGGTCTAAATCATATTGAAACGAAAAAAATTATACAAAACTATGTATAATTCGAAATGGAGCTTTACTAGTAAAAGAAAAAAATCTCGTTTTTTTGCTTAGAATTTATGATAACTTATGAAAAAGGAAAAATCCAATTTAATCCGTGAGAGCTCCATCTAATTCATTGAGTTGAATAGAAGTGTTTATTGAAAAAAAAAAAAAAAGAAAGAAAACCACACGGAAACAATCCTTAAACGTAAGATGTTCACAATTTTTTAATCTGACATAATTTTGTGTAACCCAACAATTCAGAGCTATGTGATAGAGTATTATCAGATTCCCTATAATGGAATTGTCTGTTCTGTTTTGTTTTTCTCGTCCAAGTGTCTTATATTAATAAGTTATAAATTCTTCCAAGGTCTAATGTGAGACCAAATTAGGCAAACCACATGCATTGATGCATGACATACTAATTCTTATTATGAGATAAGATTCCGAGGCATAATATTCCGTCATAATATTCCGTCCTCATCTCTCTCTCTCTCTCTCTCTCTCTCTCTCTCTCTCTCTCTCTCTCTCTCTCTCTCTCTCTCTCTCTCTCCTGTTTTTGTTGGATTACACATCCAAAAACATAAGTTTTTAGTGCAGCTGAGTTTAGCCCAATTCACTTTGAACTTGAATTAGTTAGCATCCCAACCTTCTAATCTCTTCTCCTTCTGGTATGAACTCGATGACATATATCATGGATTAACAATAAACAGGTTATGTTTAATTTATGGATTTAAAATTATTTTCATTTTACGTATATTTTTTATAAAAAAAAATATTATAATGAATTATGAATTATGATTCAAATTATGACCTAAATCTCTTTTCCAAACATCGCATAAAATTACATCGGTAGGATGCATGTAAACTACAGTTTTAAACCGCGAAATCATACTAGAATGATATCAGTTTAAAAAACAAATAATAATAAGACAATTTAACGAAGTTTGACGATTCGGAATTGTGCCGAATAGAAAAAGGACAGAGATCACAGCTGAAGTTCAGTACACATGACAGTTTGACCAACAAACAAAAGTATCAACGCTCCGGAAAACTCAAAGGCTAGGAGTAGGGAGGCAACCAGGGTAGTATCAAACTCTCTCTCTCTCTCTCTATATATATATATATATATTTAAAAAAGTAATGAGCCAAAAAAAAGCGGGAAAATTGCCACTTCTGCCAGATGTAAAGCAAGGGCAAAGCAGTGAAGAAAGAAAACATGAAAGCAGAACAACCTTGTCTGTCCTTGGTCAACTGCATTGATATCCCGTCAGATGGTTTCAACAATAACAGTTAGCTTTGCTGGCCCATCCTCACATGTCATACCTTAAGCCTCGTTAATTTCACCCCTCACAAGATATATATCTTAAATGTCGTTCATTTTAATTATTTTGAGTTTTTAATTTTAAATTTATAATTAAAAATTTTTAAAAAATATTACATTTAATTTTTTATGCTACAGTTAAAAACTCTTAAAAAATATCACGTATCAACTCAAATTAAAAATTTAAATCCGTGAAGCAAGACTTTAATATTTAGATTTAATACATGTGCGTACAACACGTTTCTTGGATCCTCCACAAACTCATACACCATAGATATATATTTGATACAAAAGTGCACACGGAATAAGGTCCGTATCCTAAGACATTTCTTTCAAGAAGAAAAAAAAAAAAGGTCCATTGGTACAAGTAAACTAGCATATAACTTTGTTTTATACCTCCTAAGCTCAGAAACCATACTAGTTGCGTTTTAGCAATCTTTGTACATGGAGTATTGCCTAATCTGAGGAATAATGCATTTACCTGTCTAACTCTAATATGTTTTTATACTTACTTTTTATAATAATACCGTCCCGTCTAGGAAGTTGCCATTTTTCGATTGGTAACCAAAAAAAAAAAAGTAGCTTAACCAGTTGAAAAGCACAACTCAACTGTCACACTACTAAAAAAGTCGAATGCTTCATGTTATTCAAGCTGAAGTAGGTTTAACAAAAAAATAAAAATAAAAATAGAGCTGATAAGGTCAAATGTAATCTTCCTACAGAATTAGAAAGAACATAATTTTTTGTTTAAATTAGAGCTGATAAAGTAACATGTAACTGTTTTACAGATTATAACTTTACCTTCTAATTACAAAAATTTTAGGAAGATCCTGAAAAGGGTAAGCAAGCAAGTGAGCGTCCCGGCCAAGCAACATATCCGGAGAACTTTCCCCCTCTTGTTTGGACTCAACATTGTGAAATGGCAAAGAGCCGCATCTAAAAGAGATTCTCCATCCAGGAAGTACACCTAGTGAATGCCATGAAGATTAGACAAAAACAGTGTCAAAAGTCATATATTGCATTAGTACCGAACACTATCTTGAGGCTTGTAATTTTCCCAAGTGTTGGGACACATATTCAAAATGTAAGCATAATAATTATGATGGAAGGTCCAAAAGGGCTTTCATAAAAACAGAATAATCTTCCAAGTGTTCAGGCAAAGTGACACATTCAAAATGTAAGCATATTATTCGCAGTGAAAGGTCCAAAAGGACTTTCATGGAATCAGTAAACAGACAATAAAACATGGTGGTCTACAATAAAACAGACATAAAAAGAAAGTAAAATGGCTTTCATAAAACAACGAAAGAAACATGGGTCTTTTTCTGCCATTCCTCTATTTATTTATTTATTTATTTTATAAAAGAACTTCAAGTCCTTTGAACATCTCCCTATCTGTCAATGTATGTAAAATATAAATAAAACTCGGACCAAAAAGGCCAGGCTTCGACATACACATTTATTATTTAATTATACTCGTAGTAAAAATCAAGGAGGAGACCAGAACTCTACTTAAAATTTATTCACGTTTATTGGTAAATTGGTGGCATGGACATTTCTAGAAAGCAACTCATCTATGATATACAATTGTGGTAAAGTATACAATTGTGCAAGTATTTCCCAACTAATTATCTACGTGCAGAGGTTGGTAATCTCTTCATAAAAGCTGACTAAGCTGACCGTGATAATCTCTATACAATTCTTACATCTATAAAGCCAAGATGGAGGCCAATGAAATAATATGCTGCGTGGATGAAAAATCTATAATAATGGGTTGGTACTAGAAACTCACCGGCAAACTGTTGAGAAGAGCTAGTGTTAGAGAGACGTGGAACGTGCACATAAAAATTCTTTCTAATACATCTGGAAGATAGGGACTAAAATATGCCCAACGAGGTTGATACGCGGTTAATCGAATCGCGCTCGCCATGGATATTATGTCACCAACGAAAACAAAAGTTCCGCCGCAATTAGGTTCTACAAAATCAGAAGTCCTTGAAGCTGAAGGTAATTTCCTTCCAAATTGCAAGCATTCTGATGAATATGGGCTTGAATATGAGACTTCAACCCATAGCATGTCTGGTGTTTGAATTGGACTTAAGCAAGACTTATCCTGTAACAAATAAAAAAATTTAATTCATTTGCATTTAAAATGCATGAAAATTTTCAATCAAGCTACAGTCGTGGAAAACATAAAAGCAATAGAATATGCTAAAATTTGCATTTTCATACAAGCACAGTCAGATCTCAAACCTGTGAACATGCGCAACTACCGCCCTCTGTTTCAGCTCCCATCCAACCATCGCCACATTTATTGAACTTAACGACTTCCTTAGCATTCAAGCAGTGGTTTTCCTCAACCCTTTTTGGATTACCATCTAACAACCTTGTATCGGGACAGGGAATGGCAACAAATGGAGCAAGATCATCAGGACAACCAAACTGATTTTCTACTACCTTAATCTTCTTGTTTTCTTCCAAAACAGAATCAGGAACACAGTACCCCTTACTGCTATTGACTCTTCTGATGCTTTCGACAGATGTAGCATTATTCATATTTTCAAGTGCCAATTGATTTAGCAAAGATGATATCCCCATCCACTCTTGGGCGCTATTGATACGTATGCCATCTAACGAGACAATTATATCACCAGGAGACAAGTGTCCAGTTAAGGGTGATGAAGAAGGTATGGCCAAAACCTATTTTAGTTAATCATAATACACACGCTAAGCAAGAAAAGGAATGTGAATATAAAAACATTTTGACCTACAATTTAAATAGCAATGCAGGTAGTAATGTACCATGGGGCTTTCACCGTGTTGGTAAAAGGGAAACAAAATCATAGGCAGGAAGAATAATACCAGTCCACAAACTGCACAGCACTAGGATCAAAATGTGACGGCAATTAGCAAAATACCAACAAGGTTATGATCTAGTCCAAACAATTAACTATATATATGTAAACAAGAAAACTAAATGCATAAAATGCTAATGACTAAATACACAACAAGAAGAAAATGATCTTACCACTGCATTGTGCCAAATGCCAGCACAATATATACGAAGGGAAGCAAAACGCGGTAATGCTTGCAGCAAGTCGTAATTAAAAGCCACCAAAGCACCAGGAAATAGAACCACAATAAAGATAGCAATGTAGTCCATCTGAATGCCTTCACTGCTTTCCATTGAAAAGTTTCCTACCATACCGACCATGAGAATCTAGCATTTCATATAGGAAATCTAATTTGACACTTATCAACCTATTGGTGTTTCATTTTACAATTTCTTGAACACATATTTTGTCAGCTGCCTTGAGCATTGAAAGCTACAAACTTAACAGGCATATGGCAAGTTATTAGTACACTCTTATTAGAGTGAGTCACTGTCTTCAATAAGAGAGAATGATCAAGCAATTGTCGGACAAGATTACATAGATCTCAAAAGCCTAATATGACCTGAAGTATCTCGAGATACTGAAGCCGTTGTCTTTGTTCTGTTTCCTCGATCCTTGGACAACAGCTACATATAAGTTTTAGTTGAGAGGATATTAGTTACTAAAATATCGAGACTAGTTCACAGATACTTAGGTCTTTGAGTCTATATGATGGAGCGCCCAGTCGGGATTTAGAATGATAAGGATTCACGGTCTGAGGGAATTCGGTGTTGATACTTTTGGGAGCAATATCTTATTAAATGTAACTAATCTTATCTTTATTCCGATCCAAAAGTGCACGTTCGTGTTATAGGTGTACACACATATCCATATATCTGCAAAGTTCTTTTTATTTATTTAATTTTCACACACGACACACAAACATAAATTCAAGGTCTGAGGGACTGAAATCATAGTTTTATGAAAATGACTGAAATTATACTAGGAATAGAACTTGCTAAACTCAATGGACCTGAAACAGGATTCATAAGATAGTAAGTGTTAAGGGATCTGTAATAATTTTGGAGAAATGCCTAAATTAATTGAGCATTTGACTCAAACATTAATTTCAACTAGATTTATTTTTGTTTATCTATTATCTATTTATTCATTTTTTTCACTTATTCATTTGTTTATTGGTATCTATAACTTGAAATCATACAAACACTTGAAACACACCCACAAAGAAAAAGAGGAGGTAAACTAACAACCCCAATCAGCTTATGGACCTCACTCAACAATAACATGGTCAAGCCAGTAACAAAATTTGATTGTTCAGAGCCATACAACTAACAGTATTGGCCAGTTTGGAAAATGTATTTACACCCATGATTCTGATTCTGCGCCGCTCACAAAGAATTTAAATTTAAAAATTTCCCATCAATGGTTTTCTCACAAAGTTCCCACCAACGAATCAGCATCACTGACTTGAATGTGTGAACCAAACGGACCCTATGGCACTCAATACCCCCCCCCCCCCCCCAAAAAAAAAAAAAAAAAAAAAAATAAAGACAAAGAAGTTACGCAAAAAGGAAGTTCAAAGCCTAAAAGAAATCAAAGTGGCAAGCTTTTAATGAATGCAAAAAAGGAAAAATACAGGTCCTCTAAAGCCAAAGAAATATGTTGGTTATACATTATGGTAAAGCTATTCCCTTGGGCAATACACGACCCTATCTAGAACTTGAAACATGGAGAAGGGGAAGGGGAAAATTTTTTTCTTGCTAAGACTTATAGGACCTACTTCCTTTTGTCATGCTTTTTCATAATCCACTTCGGCTTTTCTTTTTAAGAAATTTTTTTACATATTATCCGTTCAACTAAAATTCAAAGAAGACAATAAGAGCACATAGGTATAAGTTCTTTAATAAGGGATTCAGTCACAAAAATTTACGACTTAAACATAACCAGAAATAGGGGTCATATAACTAGAGCTTATTTAAACAATGTCAAGTTTAGACAGCACAACACGTAAAATATATATATGATAAACGAAGCCCAATCAAGAGAGAAAGGAAACAAAAGACCTTGCACCGGCAAGAGCATGCCCGAATTCATGAAGAGATACGGATATCAACGTAGAAACTAATAAGTATCCAGCATCAGCAAGTGAAATTCCCTGAAAAACGCACAAGACAATTAAGAACCCAATTCACAATACAGCACTATGAGCTTGAAAAACGAAGACCCACCTTAGAGGAAGGGAAAGAAGAGAACCCGAACAACAAGGAGCTGGAAAGATCGCCAAACGAGCACTCCGGGAGAACACGCAGAGCTCTGCCTATTTCCCAGAGGAGAATCTGAGAGAATCCCATTTTGATGTTAGGCAAAAGGGCGTAAATGAAAAAAAAGGGGGGTGATATGGGTAGAGAGAGAGAGAGAGAGAGGAGGTAAAAACCAGAGAAACGGAGAGGAGAGCGGTGAGGGCAAAGCCGACGCCGACGGAGAACCATGGTCGGAAAATGGCGGCGTATCGTCGTCCGAGGTGGAAGAGGGGTTGGTTGAGAGTGGAGATCTTGTAGTCACAATACCAACATGAGAAAGAGATGGAGTTGGAAAGCGAAGGAGGAGGAGTGGTGCGACTGCGGAGGGGTAGGAGAGAGTGATTTGTTCTAAATTCCCTTTCACTCCCAAACCTTCTTACCCGCCTCCCTTCCGGTTCCATTCTTTGTCGCTCTTCTCTTCTGCTATCTCAGGCTCATTTTATTTTTCTCTATAAAAAAAAAAAAAAAAAAAAAAGCTTAGACACACCACCGCAGCTAACTATTAAGCATCATCATTACTAATCTAACTATTTTGCATCATCATCATTACTAATCTAACTATTTTGCATCATCATTACTAATAAAAAGTGTCTCACATGAGATTCATATTTTATCAGTGATGATATTAAACACCAGTGATTTCTTATAATATTCCTCGATTATGAGACTACCCTCCCTCATTTTATCAAAATATAAAATCAAAACACTTTTACGTCTAACACTTCTTAACTTTAAAAAAATAAAAAAATAACAGAGATACCTTGTTCTATTTGTTTACAATTTTTAACACTTTATTTAAACACATTTTAAATTTGTTAGTCCAAATTATAATTTATGTGCGTATCCAAATTTCGGTTAAACTTATGATTCAAATCACAACAATTTAAATTTCACAATTCAAACTAAATCACTACAATTTAAATGGTTAACCAAATAAGACTTATAAAATACCCAAAGAAAAAGATATAGAGACAAATGACTTTTTCAACGATTTTTTTAAAAATACCGAAGTTTTATAAAATTAGTAAACTAGTCGTTTCTTTTATTAACTTAATGATCAATCACGGATTAACTTAGCGGTTAATTATTAATTAACTTAGAGGTCAACCACTAATTTATTCGATGATTTTTCATTATTAATCAATATTAATTAATAATTAATCAATTTTAATCAACAAATTATATATTTAATAATAATAAATTATAATAATAGTTTAATTATTACTGATTGATTATTTAAAAAAAAAGACTACTTTTTAAAAATAAAAAAAAATTCGGCCATTTATTAAAAAAACCCTAAAAAAAACATCCGTTCACTTCGCTGATTCGAGTTTATAATTCGAGTTGAGATGTGATTTTATGTGAGAGCTTTTTACAGTAACAAAAAAGTTAGATGTGATTATTTGTGAGAGCTTTTTACTGTAGAAAAACTCGAATTCTAAACTCGAATCAGCGAAAACGGCCTTACATTATTTCCCCCAAAAAAACTCGCACAATACAAAATATTTAACAAAATTTACCAAAATAACCTTAAAACTAGAATAAAAATACATTCTTCCCAAAAATAAAAACCCAAAAAAAAAAAAAAAAAAAACCGTTCCGGTTAAAAATAAAAAAAAATTCGGCCATTTATTAAAAAAACCCTAAAAAAAACATCCGTTCACTTCGCTGATTCGAGTTTATAATTCGAGTTGAGATGTGATTTTATGTGAGAGCTTTTTACAGTAACAAAAAAGTTAGATGTGATTATTTGTGAGAGCTTTTTACTGTAGAAAAACTCGAATTCTAAACTCGAATCAGCGAAAACGGCCTTACATTATTTCCCCCAAAAAAACTCGCACAATACAAAATATTTAACAAAATTTACCAAAATAACCTTAAAACTAGAATAAAAATACATTCTTCCCAAAAATAAAAACCCAAAAAAAAAAAAAAAAAAAAACCGTTCCGGGGCAAGGCCCGACAAGTGACGACCTCCCTCCCCTTGCGGAGCGCGCTTTGAACGCCGTCGGTGGCGACGCATTGACTCTTCCTTCTTCGGCGATGCTACTACAACACCGCTTTTGGTACTCCTCCATCTCTTCAATTTCTTTGTACTGCTCAGTCTTGAATTTTGGTTCGTATAACACCAAAAAGAGTTTGTCTTTAATGCACTGAAAAATCGTATGGAACTGCTGAATTCTTTGTTCTTCTCATTTGATAGTAATTCTTAATTTGAAATGCGTTTGGATTGTGTATATGGCTTGTTGTATTTGCAAGGATATATAGATAGTGAAGTGGCTTGCTGCGATGGATTTTTGTTTTTGTTTTTGTTTTTTTGTTTTTTTTGTTTTTTGTTCTTTTTTGTGATTCGTTTTTATAAATTTTCTTACGCTTCTGCTCGGAGGCGGGGGATTCCCATTACATTTACAGCCAAACTCACAAAGGTTCCCATTACATTTACAGCAGCAGCAAATCTTCTTCGATTTCGCTGCTCTCGTCTAAGAATCTGGTAAAGTTCTCATCTTTGATAACATCACCTTCGATTGCTCTCATTCTGGTCCCTGCGTTCCTGAGTTTTAAAAGGTCTCTCTCTCTCCTCTCTCTCTCTCTCTCTGATTTTATTGAAACTTTTGATATGTTTGTTTGGAAAATCTTAACAAATTCTCTCCTTTTAGGTGTATCATGTGACCTTAATTCTTCCATATATGAATCCTTTGTAACCGTTTTCTTATAACCTTTGTGGTGGTTTTTCTGTCTGTCTAATCGATTTTGTTTCTCTTCTGCCTGCCTATGGAAGATATATATGCTACTTTACCTTTCAATCCTTTACTTTATCTTGATAGTTGTGTTCAACTCTTGTTTGGCGCCGAGTGTTTACTCCGATCTCCCTTGATTGGAAGTGATTCTGTACGGTTCTAACGCAGCATTGTCTTTAATCACTAATTGGATCCTCTCGGTTTGAGTCTCATCTCATGGATTTACAAGTATTTTTTATCACCGCTTGTTCATATTTTGCTTTATTTTAAGAATTTGTTTTTCACATTCAGAAGTTTGTTTATGTAAATTTGTTTTTTCTTTGGGTAATTCAATTAGAGTACGGTACTACTTTGCATAATTTTTTAGTATGATGTATTGATCATCTTCCCGTTACTTTAGAAAGTAGTGAAGTTCTACAATTTCTTTTATGTTTTTTTGACTAATTTATGTCTATACTATAATAGTATAGTAGTATCGATACTGACCTGAACATGTTATAGATCAAGTATTTATATACTTTGCAGTTTCAAAATGGTATCTTCGACAGCTTCTTGATCTTATGATCTTTATGTCTTTATGTCTTTATGCAGTTTCAAAATGGTATTTATATACTTTGCAGTTTCGAAATGGTATCTTCAACAGCCTTTTGATATTATGATCTTTATGTCTTTATTCTTCTTCCAGGCAGTTAAATAAATCTTATGTGTTGTTTTCCTAACATCACATGATTTATTCTTACTTGCTCTTTGGATAGAAAAAGACAGTATTTGGTTGGATTTCTTTCCACCATGGATTGTATCGTTTGATACTTTCTTTCTTCTAAAAAAAAAAAAAAAAAAAAAAAATCACTCCCCTACACTACCATTGTGGCAGGCCAAATCAATTACAAATATGTTTCCTTCCATCTCCATCAAAGCTTTGGCTCGTTCTTTCTCCAACTCTGCCACAAGGTACTTTCTTTCTTTCGGTTTTACCTCCCTTTCCTTCATCTTTCCTTTTTTTTTTTCTTTTTAATTATTAGTTTCTATTAATTTCAATTGGAGCTCAAATGCAATTCTTACCTTGACTGAAATTCAGTTTAAATTAGTAACATGAAATGTGAAATTTATTATTTTTCCCTGGTCTTTCTTTTATCCGTTATGTTGTTCAACATAAGTTCCGTTATTTAGTATAGTTTTGACTGTAATGAAGCTCAGTAAAGGGGCCTTTAGTTAATGCTAGAGAAGTGGGGCTGAATTAGTTTACTTGAGATGGTTTATAGGTTTCCAGCTGGATATGACTTCATTTGCTTATGGCCCGTTTGGTTCATGTGTTCAAGTCAATGATTTTGATTTTGAATTCAAATTTTGTGAGAGAACTCATTGGCAGGAACTTTTTTTATTCATACCTTTTGTGAGAGAGTAGAATCTGAATCATGGGTTCAAGTCAGTGAACCAAACGGGCCCTAATGAGTCTTACACTATAGTTACAAGAGTATTCTTTGTTTCTAATGTTCTCACTTGCGTTTTGTAAATAAAGGTGAACTTATGAACAATTGGAATCTAAAGGGAGCCGGAATCTGAATCTAGAAAAGAATTGGCTTTAGTACGAGTTTGATGAAACTATTCAGTTTTCTTCATCCTAGCAATTCAGCCATAAACATTTTTCTTTTTAATTTATGCCCTCGAGGAAATTTTTGGTTATGCTGCCCTTTCGTTTTGAAGGCCTCTAGTGATTGATTATGCATCTTCTTTATGCAGGGACTCTTTAGTTTTATGGCGTTGTTTGTCTCATAAGGTTTCAGTGCAATCGTTATTGACAAGCACTTGCTTTACCCGGTCTCTTCTCAATCTCATCTCTATGCAACAGCACAGCTACAGAGTATCAAGGCCTCTCTTTGAAGTGCCATTTACATTATTTGAATTTCCTTTGGTGCGAAGATCAGATCTATTTGAATCCCGGGGTGTTGTTTATAGAAAAGAGATACTTGCTAGGAACATGAGTAAAGCATCAATTGAACTCAAGACGGAGAATGATGTTGTCAGGTTTTCTGTCAGTAAACCGCCTCAAGGCTCCTCACGCGAAGTGAAGAAGGAAAAATCCAAACGGGCTAAAAAGTCCAAGAAGGCCAAAGTCAATGAGTTAAAATTCTATCGTTTGATGGCAAGAAAGAAAATGAATTCTCCAAATCCAGAAGTTCGGATCAGATATAAACTTGAAAAGGTTGGACGCTTGTTAATTATATGCGGGTACACGAACACATACAAACACGGATACACTGTATACATGTGTATAGATGTATTCGCTTCCGTAGTTTAAGATGTTTTTTTAGTTCTTTGTTGTTTTCTTCTTTCTTAATTTATTTATTTATTATTACTATTATTTGGTTTTCAAATCTTACTATTGGCATGTCACGTGTGCCTTGCTGCATCACACATTTTGTGTTTTTTTATATCATTAATTGTCATTAATAGAGGTTTGGATGGAGTTAGGAGATGTTGGGATTGTGTGGCTCACTAAGCTTTTTAATGTGATACTAAAGAAGAAACATATGCCTGATGCGTGGAGGAAAAATATTCTTGTCCCCGTCTTCAAGAATAAAAGAGATGTGCTAAATTGTAACAATTATAGGGGCATAAAGTTAATAAGCCACACTATGAAACTTTGGGAGAGAGTTATTGAAAGGAGATTAAGGGCCACAACTACCATCTCACGTAACCAATTTGGCTTCATGCCATGCAGACCAACCAAAAAAGCCATTTTTCTTCTTAGGATGTTGATGGAAAGGTACAAAGAAGCCAAGACGGATTTACATATGGTATTTATAGATTTAGAAAAAGCATATGATAGGGTACCGAGGGAAGTTTTATGGTGGGTGCTAGAAAAGAGAGGAGTGCATGTGAGGTATATCAAGGTAATTAAGGACATGTACGATAGGGTGGTCACAAGTGTGAGAACTGCTGGAGGCTACACGGCAGAGTTCCCCATTCGTATTGGCCTTAATCAAGGATCTGCTCTTAGTCCTTATCTTTTCACCATTGTGATGGATGAGCTGACAAGAGAAATTCAAGATAGAGTTCCTTGGTGTATGCTTTTTGCGGACGATAAAGTTTTAGTTGATGAACACAGAGAAGGAGTTAACCGTAAGTTAGAACTGTAGAGACAGACTCTCGAGACAAAGAGATTTAAGTTAAGTATGACGAAAACTGAATAAATGCATTGTAGGTTTAGTAACTCAAGTAATCAAAATGATGGAAGTTCTTTAGATGATGTGGAGATTGGGGCGTCTAGGAAGTTTAGGTACCTTGGGTCTATAGTGCAGTATGAATGAGATATAGAAGAGGATGTTCAACATAGGATTAAGACATGGTGGGTTAAGTGGAAGAATGCTGCGGGAGTTTTATGTGATGGCAAGATGCCTATTAAGTTGAAAGAAAAGTTCTATAGGACTACAATCCGCCCAGCTATGTTATATAGTAGTGAATGTTGGGCCATTAAGAGACAACATATATGTGATGAGTGTGACATAAATGCGTATGTTAAGATGGATGAGTGACCATACGAGAATGGATCGCATAAGGAATGAAGTTATTCGTAGTAAAGTAGGTGTAGCACCAATAGAAGATAAGGTGCGCGAATGCCACTTGAGGTGGTATGGGTATGTCCAACGTAGACCGCTAGAAGCACCAGTTTGTGCTTGAGAGGACATTCTTATATCTAATACTAAGAGAGGGAGGGGTAGACCAAGAATTTCGTGGACCGAAGTAGTTAGGAATGACATTCTAGATTTAGGCCTTCAAGAAAGTCTAATTTCGAACAGAGTTGCGTGAAAAAGTGAAATCTATATAGCCGACCCCAATTAAGATGTAATTAAGGCTTGTTGTTGTTGTTGTTGTATATTATTAATTGTCATGCAGTCATAGTGATGTAAATAGCATTTCCTGGCACTGTTGTGAATTTTACTCTCCGATTACCTTGCTGATCAAGTGGAAGTTTGAAATAACGTATAAATGGTCGTTTTCTTTGTAATTTCTATTTGAAATGGTCTGGAACACTGGGATGATATTTTTTCTTCTTTTGATGCTTTGAATTCTCCTTTCTTATAACCATTTTCAACTGTTATACAACCAATTTCTCTAACTATATATATGCTTTTTCTTGTTGTTCCTAAAACTCTTCAGGCAAAACGCAAAGAAGCATGGTTGATTGAGAAGTTAAGGAAATTTGAGTTTCCCAAAACCCCGATTGAAGTATATGATCCTGAAATTCTAACTGAGGAAGAGAAGCATTACCTCAAACGTACTGGTGAGAAAAAGAAGCATTATGTTCCTGTTGGGAGACGTGGAGTGTTTGGAGGGGTTGTTCTCAATATGCATCTACACTGGAAGAATCATGAGACAATAAAGGTTATTTGCCGTCCTTGTAAGCCAGGGCAGCTTCAAGAATATGCTGAAGAGCTTGCTCGTCTGAGCAAAGGCATTGTCATTGACATAAAACATAATAATACTATAATTTTTTATCGGGGAAAGAATTATGTGCAGCCAAAAGTAATGTCCCCTCCAGATACACTATCGAAAGCGAAGGTAAACTCATCTCTTGTTGAAGTGATAATTTTCCGAATGTACTACTTTTTTTTTTTTTTTTGGCTCAGAAGCCATTGCTACTGATGGTTTTGCAAGCTCTAATCTTTCCACTGTTTTTGGATTAACTTATGTTTTCTGTTAAGCTTCTATAACTCGATCATTATGGGGGGCATTAAACTGTTTTTAGTAACGTGTCATCGAAATTTCATTTTACATCTAATTCAGATTGCAACATATTTTCTACATCTAATTCAGTTTGCAACATCATGAAATTATAGTCTTGTTCTTTTCGCAACTCGTTTTTCCTAGAATGTTTTTTCTCACGAAAATTTAAATTTAAATTTTTTACTACAGTATTTTCACTCACATGAAAAAGTTTGATTTTTGATTTGAGTTGTGAGAAGAACACATTGCATATGATTCAAACCAACCAAGAGCAGGTAATATTAGACTAGTTCTTCGTCTTCTTTTTTTTTTTTCCTCGGGAAAAAATTAGACTAGTTCTTTAGTGGCATGATATAAAGTTGCTCTAAAATTGCAGGCGTTGGAAAAGTATAGGTACTCGCAATCGCTTGAGCATACAAGTCAATTCATTGAAAAGTTGGAGAAAGAGCTAGAAGAGTATCGCAAACATATTGCGCGGTACAAGCAACAAAAAGAAGATGCTCAACAACATTCTTTGCTTAATCATAAAAGAGTTGTACCACCCCTTAACCAAACTGCAAGGCCCCACGTAAGTTTTTTATGTAGGAAAGAGCTGCAAAGCTTTTCTCGCTTTTAAATATTTACAAGAACCAGAAAAGAGAGATGAAGGACGTTGTTATATCCATAGTTTAACACATGTTACATAGCAAAGCTAGTAACAGATGCAACTTCTTTAAAACGATGTTGCAAAAAAGTTGGAAAATATGACATGTGAACAAATTTCTATTCTACAACTATCGATCTCTATTCCTGGACATCCTCCTTCGCATCATAAGAACTTGATTAATGTAGTTCAATTTGCAGACCAAACGAATGCTGAATTTCAAAACCATACAAGTTAGTGAGAAGAAAAGTCTTTATGAAATTCACAAAAAATTAGAGTATATTTTGATATTAATAATGCGGAAAGACAATTGTGATACCAATAACGAAAAGCATAATATAGAGTCTGTTTGTTTCATATACTCAAATTCAAATTATTAATTTCGTTAAAGTGTTTTTCTCTAATAAAAAATTTAAATTTCAAACGTTAAAATTAAGAATTACGATTTAAGTATATTTTCTAAACGGGTTCACAGTGTTAGAATAGAATCCACGATGATCTAACACTTGATCCAGAATCTCTTCACATATGGTATCTACAATCTTTGATCATATGTTTAATGCATGGCGTGTTGGTGTTACACGAACAACTAAATGCAAATACCCACAATGCAAAAACCTCTGAGCTTAGGCTTTGTTCATTTTATCGATTCGAGTTTAGAATTTGAGTTTTATTATAGTAAAAAATTCTCAGAAATAGTTACAATTTTTTTGCTACAGTAAAAAATTTTTACATAAAAAATTGAATCAGTGACCCTTAATATATATTTATTAATTTGCTTTTTCTGTGGAGGGCTCTTTTCCTTGCGAACGCCCATTATTAATTTTAGAGTTTAATTCTAGATCTTTGGCATAATTCTAACAATAATTTAAGACCATGCCACCCGGTCGCAGAAACCTGTTGGAGTCGTTGCAAAAGCAGCCATCTTCAGAAAAGTCAGCCACCTTCCAACTGTGGCTTGAACGAGTTTTGAGTACAGGGCCTCCATGCAGGAGAGGAGAGATTTTTTGGACGTCATTGTTTAGTCTCTCCTCCTCGTCCTCGTTATTGTTCTCTATTTTTTATTTTCTTTATTGTATTTTTTAATAACATTTATTAATTCCTAAGGGTAATAATATGTGTATTAATTTTTTTAAAAATATTTACTATGATTGAGTAAAATGTATGGATTGAGCATAAATTTACAATTTGAAGGCTTATATATATACACACATGTAATGAAACGATTCAAAATACGGGGTTGAATTTTTAGTAACCTAAAAATACATGGTATAATGATGAAAAATCCACTAAAAAAGAAAAAAAAAAAGAAGAAACTTTATAGTTAATTTTACTTTCGGCCCCTGAACTACGTTCGTTATCCCATTTTGACCTCAAACTTCTGATACACGTTGCATCTTAAGTTATACTCTTTGTCCCATGTTCGCCATTTAATCACAAAATCGTTAAAACTTCATAGAAATTAACTGTATGCTTAGTTAGTGAAGAACCACAGTTAAATAAATTGAAAAAGGAAATATACATCTCTACACGAGTTCGTTGGCAAATTAAAAATGTGGGAGTTAAATTCGTTTAAATTCATCACAAAGGCATGGCATGTTTAAAATGCTTTTCATTAAAAAGTAATTTAGGCTCCGTTTAGTTTATGAGTTTCAACTCATAATTTTAATTTTATTACGGTGTTTTCTCTCATAAAAATTTAAATTTAAAAGATTCTCGCTAATGAGTTCTCTCACAAAATTTAAACTAAATGGAGTCTTAAGGTTCAAAAGTTTGATTTCATTGAGTTTTTATTGATTTTCATGATTGATTTCATTGAGGCCGAAGAGTCAAACATGAGACTTAAGAGCTAGTTAGTGTAAAATTTTAGAAGTTTTAGTATCAAAATGAGACATCAAACAAAGTTTGGGGCAAAAGTGAAATTAACCCAAAACAAAACAATAACAAGAAGACAACAGACGACTTTTGAGTTTCCGTGATGGCAAGTTTTTCTGGCTGAGAGACTCATCATATATTCGAATTAAATAATGATTTTCTACAAATAATTTATTTCACATTATAATCCCTAAAATCTGGAAAAAAGAAAAGAAAAAAAAAGCTTGCTTGGTTTTGGAATCTGGATTGAAAATCACAGGAAAGTAGAAAGAAATCAATGATTCTTTTGCAGTCCCATTCAAGATTTCTCCTTCAGACCTTGCTCAATCGTCTCCACAAGTTCGTTTTCTTCTTCTTCAATTGCATTTATTGTTGTCTTTTGCTTTAGTTTTCTGTGTGAATTAGGGTTTGCTTTTCGATTTTGCATTCTTGTATCATCGGAGTCAGACTTGGTTTTCTATATCTCTGATGTGCTAAAATCCATATTACTTCTCTTAATTTTAGTAAGCTAGTCTAAATTCAAAGCTTTACTTTCTGTTCAATAATGATATATATATATATATATATTTCTAGCCTGTATTAATTTATGAAATAGGGAAATTTGTAACTAAGTTAAAAGAAAAAAAATATTTCTGAAGCCCTAAAGCAATCTATGGTCTATTTACAATGTCCTTTTCTTTTTCTTTCCTGGAAATGCATAGGAAACTTAAGTACATTTAACCACAATTTTCTAAATTCCATGGCAGTGACTTGAGTATAATATTCTCAGTACCTTTTTGGTTGCTTATAATTTTCGTTAATGCCCAAGTCATATCATCATTTCCAAAAAAAAAAAAATGCCCAAATCAGAAAAGGCTTATTATGGCAAGCTCAGCCACTTGTGCTCTCATATAAAAGGACCAGACTTGCCTCCCATCCAGTATAATTTATACATTTATGGTGTGAAGACTGTTTTTTTTTTTCTTAATAATATATACATATATATATATATGTATTTATGTAACAATGACTTTGGAAAGGTGTTACACTTTTCCGAAATAAGTGATTTTCTTTTTCTTGGTCCTTTAATAACGACCTTGGTCTTTTCCTATCTGTGAGTGTGTTTACGCACATAAATATAAATAAATATATCATGTATTAGTTTTCACCTTTGTCACATTTTCAAAGTTGATGCTATATAGGGCTTGCTTTGTTATTATATATGATAATGCTAATTGTGTCTGACTTGGAATGCTGCACCGATTTTCAATCGAGTGATGTCAAACAGAATTTTTTATTTTCATCTTGTTCATTCAACAGTCTTGAAAAAGGAGTTGAGTTGGACTACCATTGGGTTGAGTTTGATGACGTCCGTTACCATATGCAGGTGATCTACCAGCTTTTTGTTTGACATTTCTGCATTAGGAAGAATCAATCTATTTATCCTTGTGGATGTTTTCAACTTTTCTCAATTCTTGAATATGAAGATGTTTCTAAGAGTTATATTTACAGGTGACAATGAAGAATCCATACCATGTTTTGCTATCGGTATCATTACCCACACCACCTCCGGAAACCGCTTTCTATGGTGGACTTCCCTTTGGCGCTATAGAAGCCATAAAATCTGCATATACTGGATTTGTACAAATTCTTGATCCGCCAAGGGATGGCTTTAATCTGACTTTGAAGCTGAATCTTGCAAAGCTCCCTCCACATGAAGGTTCATCGAGTTCCTTTCTTAAGGTCATCATAAGCTTGCCATGGAAATGCTGATACATTTGGGATCTTGTGAAAAATAGTTTATCTATATTGCGACTTCCCAAATTGTGCTTGAGAAAATTTCTTGGTTTCTGTTTAGATAGGTTATGGCTTTATGCTTTTATGATAGCTGTGACATTTTACTGCGGTCTAACGTTATAACATGACGAGCTACGCCAACCACCCAGTTAGTTTATAGTTTTTTAAGAATAAAATGAGGTGTCGATTCCAAGCTGCTGCCCAAGAATGCAACATTTTGTCTTCTTAAGGCCCCACTTTTGGGATAGGGTTAATTAACAGCAGTAGATTTATGAGGATTTTTGACAAAGTTGATATTTAGAATTAAAACACATTTAACTCTGCAGGATTGGGGGAGTGAAAATTTGATTGAGAATGATATGATTTTTATGTACAAATGCTATCGGGATTGTTGTATGGAAGCTTGCTCTGCAATGTTGGTTGTTTCTAGGCATCTATTTATAATAGTTATTGGCCCTGAAGGAATTGCTATTGCTCTCTCTTATGGATGATACACTAGATAATAGACACATGTATTCCCTTCCATCTATTTATGTTGAGACCAAGTTTTTAAAATTTGCTACTGATGCTTATGCAGAGTACAAACATGCTATTTTGGTAAAAATTGCATCTGTGAGGGAAGTGGTACTTGGTGCTCCATTGAGAGCAATTCTGAAAACACTTGGGTCAAGGACTGTTGCTTCCAATATTGATCGGCTTGTTGCCCTTTTGCATCGACCAAAGGAGTCTTTTTTTCTTGTTCCTCAGGTTACATTGTTATTATAACAATCTTCCATTTCTATTTTTACATTTAACATTGCAAACACACACCATATATCTTTGAACAACTTGTTTAGCATTATGCATTTTGCTGCTCATTGTTTTTCAGCTTATGATGATTTTCTATGTAGATGGCATTTTTACCTAGCCTATTTTGTATTTCGGATTCATTCCTCTTGAAACTAAATCGACTCAGTTTTTGTTGTTCAATATGACCCTGTGTTCTGTTCATTCCCAATGCACTCTCTACTGTATTATTGTTACTATATTTAGCTACTTTAGAGGCTGAATGGATGATACTTGAGTTTTGACTCATAGATGAGTAACTGTTTCTGACAGGCAGAAAAAACGACAGTGGTGTTTCCTATGAGATTTAAGGACTCGATAGACATTGTTCTTGCCACTTCTTTCCTTCAGGTATGGTATTAATATGAGTTGAATTTTCCTTGACAAAGCAATAGTTGTATGATTACATTTAGCAACTTACTACAAGCTTCATGACTTCCAAGCATGATATCTTCATGGAAAATAGGAACAATGTTTTTGTTTTACTTGATGCTAAAGGATAGTTAAGTAATGTTTATAGCATCTGTGTGCAGCTATGTTGTAAATTCAGATTATGCTTCAGATATACTCTTTCGATTTGTATTTAGTATCAAAATTTTGGTTGTCATTAGGAATTTGTGGAAGCAAGGCGGACAGCAGGGCTCAATAATGCCCCACTTTGCTTGTGGTCACCTACTCCTCCTTTAGAACTGAAAGGAGCTCCTGCTGAAGCATTATCTGCAAACGCAGGTTTTGTAACTATTGGTATGTCTAAAAAATTGGTAACTGTCTTTCAGATATTTTTTTCTCACTATAACAGATGTAATGAATGTCTTTTATAAATGCAGTTATTTTTCCTCGTCATGTTGAAGGCAGAAAACTGGAACGTACTGTTTGGAGTTTGTCAACATTTCATGCATATGTTAGTTATCATGTCAAGGTGCGACATTATTTCAGCAGACTTAATTTGACCTTTGCAACTTTGTCCCAATTTCTTTGCTCAATAAAAGAAAGACAAATTCTAATCTGTTTAGACTGTAAGTCATTAATTATGGCTAGACTGTAAGTTGTTATTTACATATTGTTGGTGTTTGGGAGCCTACTAGTTGTTGTGCATAGTAAAACATTGTTCTGAAACTTAAGGTGTGTGGCGATAGTCGTTTAACATTTTTTTTTCACGAATTTTGTCATTTTATAAGCAATGTTCCTTGGGAAAACTAGATGGATGGGAAGAAAAAAAGAAACTAATTTTCTTGAACATTTCGTGTACATGCAAAAGGTTCAGATGAAAAGAAACGTAAATTTTCCATGACACACGATCCTATCAAAGATTTAGGAATTGGAAAGTATTTTCTGTTGAAACAAGGAGTGATAAGGCTCTTGCTTTGCCTTACTCATGCTTTGCTCAGAGATTGCCCAGGAATGGTTTTCTTAATGTTTTTCTTCCTCCCTTTGCTTTTACATGATACAAATCTACAGGTAGTTTTTTGTACGCTTGTAGTCCATAGAGGATTTAGCTTCAGTTGGAACTAGTAGTGGTATAAGACAATGTTAATGGTTGAAATCTATATTGCTGAGAATTTAGAATCTGTATTCTGTTATTATGATTCTTTCATCTGTTTCGTCGTACAATCTGATTATTGGTTATCTTTTTTTCTAAGATACATAGCCTAGGCTTTTCTATATTGTTTCCTTGATTGAAACTATTATCAGTGTAATCCTTGTTTTGTTTGATTGTCAGCATTGTACGTTTCATATGCAATTTTAACATATTCCTTTTTTCCTCTAAATTGTTTAATATGTCTTTTTCATGCGCATGCTTTAATAGTGCTCAGAGGGTTTCATGCATACAAGGATGCGACGCCGGGTGGAATCTTTGATTCAGGTTTTTTTTTTTTCTTGATTCTGTTTTGTTAACAGCTTCTTTGTTTACTTGTTTTTCTATTTGGATTCATCAATTCTTAATTTTGTAAGAACTTATTCTAGGAGACAGATTGTCTGTTCACTCTGATAAATTTGTGTGTGTGTGTGAGCCACTTCTGTTATTGGGGTGTGTTTGACTGCAGTCGGCAGGTTGTTAACTGGGGTGTTATTTCATACAATTCTTGGTAGCCCTATATATTGTGATGCCATGATAAGTTTTGAAAAATTTTCGAGTGGGGGCAAATGCCCCGACTGAACCTTGTTTGGGTCTTCACGGAGGTTACTAGCAGGTTGTTTTTGTTGATTAACTTTATTTATTTATTTTCTGTTTCTTGAATCAATTGCTAATTCTTGTAAACTCCGATCCTGCTCAAGTTGTCAAACCTATGATAAGTGCTTAGTTTGATATGGATGGCATCCAGAGTAGGTTGCAAGTGTAGAAGTTTCTCTTTTCCACTAGTATCCAAATGTACTCGAAAGATAATTTTTGTGAAACATAATAAGAAGAATGTGTTTTGTTTTGTTAAAAGATTTTTATTGTTCGTTTGGTTTTTGTGTGTGTGTGTGTTGTTCTCTCTCTCTCTCTCTCTCTCTCTCTTAGAGTTATGAGAGCCTGCTCAGATGGTATAAAAAGTTTACTCAGATGGTATAAAAAGTTAACATTAAGCTACAAGTAGTTTGTTCTCGATTCTCATATGAAGTTGGTGTGATTTAGTGGCTGAATTATTGGAGCCTATTGATCTATGGTACTTAATGCATGTTAGAGCCTATTGACATAGATTGATTTAGTTTGTGATGACACTGCATTTATTTCTCGGGGATTGAGAGGATGTGCTATCGGTATCCTGGGGGTTATTTGTACAGCATGCATATTGCATGGCTCTGAGAGCACCGGATTATCATCTGAATGTGTTAATAATGCAGTTTACTTCTGTGGCTTTTTCGGAAAATCAAATTGCTGAAATTTCTCACTTCATTTTCCTTAGGCTTTGGATCGTGCCAAGCCAGTTACAGAGAAATCGAAGAAAACGGGACATAGCACATCCTTCAAGCGACTGGTTTGTCATGAAAATACTAGTATTGATTCTTTAAATAAAGCAGTCATGTTGTGGGCTAATCTTTGCCAAAATGCATGCATATAATGAACTTGTGTACATACTGGGTTGCAGAGTCTGAAGGACGGACGGAGTAAGCCAAAGTAGCCAAGGTGGATTACCGGAAAGTAAATAGGATGTGCTCCTGCTGTTCTTCAGAAAGACGGGTTGTCCAAGAAATCCCTTGCTTGTGTAGAGAAGATTGATGCAGGTTCATGTAGTTTATTCTTTGTAGAAGATAAGCGAGAAACATTTTGTTTAGTTGTGAACATGTACGATTAGTGTTATGGTGTTTCCGTTTGAACTCAAAGTGTTATTATTGTTACTATTATTATTATCATCAACATAATTATGTTATCATTTTATTATTATTATTATTATTATTATTTGTTTTAGGTCGATTTCAGAGTCCATTTCCATGTAGATACATTTACTTTCGATACCTTTTTGCAGTTCAAATTTGTTTTTATTTTTTGGTTTTTTGGGACCTTCTCCGGTAGGCCGGTTTACTGTCAGAGCTAGTTTCTGATCGTTAGATCTGATAAAAAAATCACAGAAGATTAAAAAGTATGCAAAATATGTAATTTCTAATACATATTAGACGGTTAAAAAGCAGAGATTTATTGGCAGTTTATTTTTTTTGGTTTTATATGAGAAACTCTTGTTTTTTTAGATGTGTAACTTCACACACACCTCTATTGAAGTTTTGAGTTTAAATCCCGCACCCCTAAAATTGTAAAAAAAGAAAAAAAAGAAAAAAAAGAAATGGAAAACCCCAAGCTAAAGCTTTAGGGGGCGTTTGGTATGCAGGAATCAGTAAGAATCATATTCCCGGGAAAGTGATGGAGGGTAATATAATTTTTAAGAATAATGCATTACTGTGTTTGGTTCTATACATGAATCTTTCTCAAATTCTCAAGAATATGACATTACTGTGTTTAATTATGCATAAAAATGTTGTGAATTAAAAAAAAATTATTTTTAAAATAAATTACAATTAGCACTAATATTTTAAAAAGCATAAAATACACACAACAAAGTAGTTCATAAAATTACCGTATTTAAACTAAATAAGTAAACTTAACATCATTTATCACCAAAAAATAATAATAATAAAAAACCGAATTAAAAACTGAATATGATAAATGATGTTTTTACACAATATTATTATGTAAAAACTGAACCACATCATTCACACAAAAAAAAAAATCACAAAACTCAAACTAGATCTAATCCAAACAAATTCACGTTCATCAGTCTTATTCTCCTGCCGAACCACGTCTTCTCCGGTGAAGTCTTCCTCTTCGGTCGAATCACGTCTTCTCCGGTCAAGTCTCTCTCTCCGGCCGAACTCCATCTTCTCCGGTCAAGTCTTCTTCTCTTCTCCATTACTGTGCGACAGAGGAAAGTCTGACAACGGCATGGTGGATCGGAAGGCGGCGGCGGCGTCCTCGCCGTCCCCGTCATCGCCTTCGTCTCCCTGTGCTTCCTCCTCCGCCACCTCAACCGCCGTTGTCTCCGTCACGTCTCGCCGTTATCGTCATCCTCTTCTCCTTCCTCCTCCACCACCGCCGCCGCCGTCGTCCATGTCATTGTCTACGCGAGCGATGTGTTGGTTTCACGACGGCGAGGTGAGATGCTGGGTTTTGCGAAGGAGGCCGGCGAGGTGTTGGATTTCACGTGAAGGAAGACATCGAGGTGCTAGTTTCGTGACGAAGTCCGACAGTGGTTGGGCTGAGTGACGGTGGCTGGCGCGGGGCGTGGCTAGTGGCTGTGGTGGTCTAGTTGTGATGGTGGCTATTGGCTTACGTGAGATTTCCACGTTTAGTTAGATTCCTAGCATCTGAATATCACGTGGGTTTAAAATTACTCAAAATGTAATAACGTAAAACCTATGAGTTTCCTTTTTAAATTTTAAAAAAGTTTAATAATTATACTAAATATGAGAATCTGAAAAATTCTCTTCCTACCTCTATGATTACTCCGTACCAACACCCCTTAAAATAAAGGAAAACATGATTAGTTTAATTAAATATTATAAAACCAATATTATTAACGTATTTTATTGGAGAACGCATAGTTAAGTCACAGGGAAAAAGTATCCTGACGAAATCATGTTTAAGCAACCGGATTTAAAAGAAAATACTGAAAAGAGAGGTGGTGGGCTAAAATAGCAGGGAAGGCGACCTTCTCTGCCCTTTCCAATTCTCACACTAATCGTTCCATAATCAATTAGAATTTATAATGTATAATGTTTATGATTATTAAGGGTGTGGACCTCATACTCCTTATTATTTCATTATATTGAGGGCCACAAGTGGCAATAGAGAAAAGCAATTCAATTATGCATATAACGACATGCCATGGTGTATGTGATCTACATTTTATTTTATTTTATAAATAAAATAACAAGATCAGAGTGAGAGCAAGGCAACATATAGACAACGGAAGTTTGGTGTATTTGGAAGGTGGAAAAATAATGTAGGAAAAAAATAGAGAGCATTATGACCAGATCTTCATGAGATCACAATTCTCACAAACCATTTTGGACACTAAAAAAAACAAAAATAAAAAAAAGATTTCAAAAGTAAAATTAAATAGCGAAATAAAAATTTGCAAGGTCCCTGAATCATGGTGAGGTGAGTGAGTAGTGGCGTCTTCTCTCTTTCCACGTGCACATATGGTTGGCACGTGAGAGCTGCTGAACTGAACAAAAAAGCTGCTGACCCCAAAATTCGCAATACAAGCTACAAGTACAAAGCTTCAATTTCAGCCAAAATCAAATTGAAGTACACTAAGTGGTCGGCCAAAATCAAATGGATTTCCCTTCAGGGGGCTTTAGCTCTTTTCTCGTTCACCAAAATGGGAAAAATGGTATTTCGAATTTTACAAGACTCTAGTCTGAGTGCCTCTCCTATGCTCGCCTAATGGCTCCCCAACAATAAAAACAACACCACTACAGAGCACCCGAGCTGCCACCGCAAATAGAAAGTGAGTCCAAGGTCATAAAAGTATTAATGATGGTGTTTAAAACCGGTAATATTCGGAGTAATTTTCACAACAAAAATAATTCAAGAGGGACCGAAAAGCAACTGGATTGCAAAAGGTCATGGGTGGATCCCACACACACCCACTTTGTATATTGTAATTCAAACCAGCTGAGAAGCCCGAGAGACTTTTTCTTCTTTTTCTTTTGTTTTGTTTTTCTCTCCTCGATTCCAATTCCATAAGACTACACAAATAGAACAAATATATTATGATTCTACTACTCTGAATCGCTGTCCACGCTTTCCATTCCTTTCAGCCCCCTTCGCTTTTGCTGCATGTGCAAGCCACACCCAATCAATAAACATCATGCACCCAAAATTAAAAAACCAAATTAAAAAAAGAAAAAAAACCCAAAACGTCTTTAAATGATTTCTACTCCTTACACCTAAAGAAACTAGGCATATTATGACAGGACATAGCAACAAATATGCATAGTAAATTTGCTGTTCTCAACCACTTTGACTCTTGTTTTGGCTACCCATTTGGCAAAGAAGTGTAGATAAAAATAAAAAAAAAATTAAAAAATAAATAAAACAGAAGTGACTTCTAACTTTAACCACAGCAGCCATTCAAATAATTTCTAGATTCTGTTTTGGCTTGTGCAGGAACAAGAGAATATGCTAAAATCTTTGCTAAGATCTAGTGGATATGGAGAAAATAAAATAAAAAAAGTTCCTAAGTTAATTTTACCACTTCTAAATAAAATCTATACTACAATCTAATGGTGTACCTAAATTTCTTGCAGAAGAATCCCGGGAGAGGTAAGACCAATGGGAAGAATTTTCCTAGAAAATTCCCAGAAACTAGTTATAAAAAGCCAACAAAACTAGAGGCGAAGAAGAAGAGCAGGAGTTACCTTCTTCACACATTTCTTCTCCCTAACTTCATAGCGATTCCTTGTCAAGTCAGACAGCCACATCCCCGGGAAACAATACTGCCAAAAGCACAACCCCACCACCAACAAAGTTATTTAATTTTCCCATATAAATATAAGAATAGTTTTGATAAACGATAAGCAATAAGTTAATAATATAAATTTATACCTGGAGTGCTCTATCAATATTCTTGGCCCTTTTCTTGGGCCTCTGGGGAAGCTTCGTGCCTTTCATAACAAGGAAATCATCTTCCTTCTCCTTTCTTGACAAAGCAATATGAATTCTGGGCCATTCCATCATCTCAACATTCACCTTCTCTTCTTTCGGAGCAGGATTAGCATGGGTGGCTCCACCTTCTTGTTCTGTTCGCAACGATGCGGAATCGTTGTGATTGGAGCGAACTGGCGTTGAAGAACCATTTGGCTTATCATTTGCTGACCTTCCTGAAGAAAAATTCTTCCTCTCGTTCTTCTCCGGCTGCGGAGATCGCTTACCCCCCGCCGTAGATCTAGAAGCAGCACGGTTGTTGCCTGCATAGTTTCTTGATGGTGATCCATTTACAACACCAGATCGATCTTCTAAATTCCTAGTCATGTCAGGCCAAGAAATGATGGTAAGATAAGAGATGGCTGAGCTTGATATTTGCTTTTTGCATTGGTTTCACAGAAGTGGGGGCTATTAGAATAGTTCTACACTTGCAATACAAGACTAATAAATCAAAAGGTAGACCGTACACGGGGAAAACACAGAATTTAATACCCACCTAAAACAGGAAAACCATATAACTTTCCAACACAAGCAGAGAAACAAGAAAAATGGAATAATAATTATAATAATAAAAACAGAAACAAAGGTTATAAATACGACAACTTCCAATAAAAAAAAAAAAGTTGTTTTAAAGATCCGTACAAAGGATCGTGAGGTGTTGGAAATATGATCTGTCAAAAAATGAAAGAGCAGGGAGTTTTGGGCAAAAAACCCCAAAACTGATCAAAACATAATAAGAAAGCAAAGAAACCCAGGGGAAGAAAAGGACGACTGGGAATGGACCTAATGGATAACCACTATGAGTGGGGAGAAAACCGAGCCAAAGAAAGGTCATAAACGAAATTTCATAACATCTCTAGGGACAAAAAGGTAAACTAAAAATAGCAGTCTTCGCAGAATCACAACCTAGATCGAATAGAAGGTGAGTAATTTAGACCTAGAAAAACCATTATCTATCCAACGCTTCAAAGTTTTAACCTTTCTCAAAAATCATCACAAGATATCTGAGAGATCGTCACTGTGAGTGGCCAAAGAGTGGTCACATATGAGATTTTGTAACATCTCTAGGGGCAACAAGGTAAACTAAATAATAGCTAAATCGAATAGGAGGTGATTAGATTAGACCCAGAAAAACCATATTATGATTATCTCTCTCCAAAGTTTCAACCTTTCTCAAAAATCATTACATAAAAATAAAGAACACAAAAAATCAAACAATATTAAGAGATGATCGATTGAGTTATTACTTATTACCTGCCGGGGTGGGACCCAGAGGAGTCTTTTCTGGCTCTGCCATTAGAAGAAGATGAAAGCAAAGGCGGTGGAGGAGGAGGCGGCGGAGGCATGGCCGTGGTGGGACCCACCACTCTCCTTTGAGGTTTAAGAGCTTGTTGTGGTTGTTGTTGTTTGGCAGATGATGATGATGAAGAGTCGTCGGTGAGGGCTCGGATCTCGGTCCTCGAGACTCTGGACCTCTTCTTATGACCCCATTGCAGCAGAATATCGCCGCCATGGCTGGGGCTGGGGCTGGGGCTTGGGCTGAGGCTGCTTTCATGGTGGAAATGGTTGTTATTGTTGTTGTTGTTGTTGTTGTCAAAAGTAGAAGTATGCTGATGATGATTGCTGTGGTGGTGATCTTGGGTTGTTGTTCTTGACGGTGATCTGAATCTGAAGGATTTGGACTGTTGTTCAAAAGAAGAAGAAGATGAAGTTATAGCGTTCTCCACGCCGTTCGGCTTTTTCCCATTGCTTAAGGGGAGACAATCTGGACTTACTCTCTGATATCTGTAAAAACGAAACTCACATTAAGAATTGGTTCAGAGACTATACAATAAACAATTAACATTTGAACAAAGAAACAAAAAATGAAGAGAAAATTGAGGATTTGTCGAAATTTATCACAAAACCTCCACCACCCAAAACTGGAAAATTCCAGAACTAATTTACAAAATCGAATACGCCACAAAAACCCAGCGAGCCGCTTAAGAGAAAAACAAGTGGAGAAGCAAAAATAAAAGATGTAATGAGATCGGATTTGTTGAAATTCACGATCAAACAACATCGCATTACAAAATCATCGAATACCCAAAACTGGAAATTCAGAAAAACTAAAACTCTCAAATGCAAAAAAAAAAAAGAAAGGTCAGAATAAATCTCCACCAGCGAGCCAAAAGAATCATCAGATCAGTAGAGAGTGTTATTGAGAAAGTGGCTGATTTTGGATCGAAATCAATCTGAAATTACGAATATGAGGATCGAAGAAAGTATGCAGAGACTGACACTACTGAATGACTGCTTGACAACAAATGAAAAGAAAGCCAGCCCAAGGAATGGGTTCTTCGTCAACACAAAAACGCAAAAGAAACTAAGATGATCTGAAGCCGAAGAAAAAAGCCGATCTCGAATCAAGAAATCCGTTTCACCAAATCAAAACATTCTAGGAAAAAAAAAATTTGGAGGCTGCGAGAAGACCTCATCATTTGCGATTATGGCGGCGATGGCGAATTGATTTGGATCAGTGAGTCAGCGAGTCAGCGAGTCAGCGAGTTGCTCACTCACTGAGAATCTCCGCTTGGTGTGTTTGGGAAGAGAGAAAAAAGAAGAGAAAATGAACAGTCCATCATGTCCGTTCGAAGAACAAAAGCAAAACTGCTTTCTTTCTTTCTTGCTCTCTTTCCTTATTTATTTCATTATCGGGTGTTAATCAACAGCAATTCACAGATTCATTCTACGGAAGCAGAAACCACAAAATCTGACTGCCTTATATAGCAAAACAACGAGAGAGAGAGAGAGAGAGAGAGAGAGAGGGGTGGGAAGAGCAGAAGAGGAAGAGACCAAACAAAATTGTCCAAAAGCACGTAGAGAATTTGGCTAAAATAACCGAGTAAAAAAGTGAAATTTGGGATATAATTTTCCAATTTCATTTATTTTATTTTATTTTAATAAACTCTTAATAATATAATTAATGGGTATTTATCTATTAATTGAGTATTATTAATAAAAATCAAGAATATAATTTAATTGAAAAAAAAAAAGCAACAGAGGAGGCCTTCTTCCCCCTTTTTCCCTCACGGGCGCTCAAAACAAAAAAAAGACGGAAAAAAAAGACCTAAGACGAACGAACGATCAAGAAGGTAAGAGAACGATTCAAAATCCTTAGTGTTGGAACTTTAGACGGGCCGCTCGTGATCGTCCGAAATGCCTGAGTTTTTGCCCGAGCCCGACCCGCCCGAGCCTGAATTTCACCTTGAACGGGCCGTGGGCTTGTATTAGGCCGCCCGAGCCCGCCCGAATTGCCCGAATTATTTAAACTTTTTTTTGATACTAAGTTATTTTGTGTTAAAATTTATATATATATATATATATTACAATTTGAAATGAACACACGAACTATATAAAAAATTATTTCTTTATTAATTTTTAAATTTGTAATTCATGATTACCTCGTTAAAAACCTTATCAAGAAAAACCTAATTGGAATAAAAACTTGGCAAGGAAAAAAGAGTGCAATCATTTTGTGACGAATTACAAATTATACAAACTTACATTGTTTATTAAATTACAAATACAATGTAAAAAGTAAATACATATTTACAAATTACAAATTTACAATTTAATTTAAAGCTGAGGGATCGTCTTCAAAATTAAATGTTAATCGATTAAATTCATCGATTCATTCTTGGCTTGCCGGTGAAATTGTATCTTGTAGACGTTGATCGGCTCGATCCCAATCCTTAATGCAAACCAAGGCTTCAACAATATCCCTTTGCAATGCATTCCAGCGTTCCTCAAGTATTCTTCCTGTCGTACTGAAGGCTTGCTCGGATGAAACAGTAGAGACTGGGATCGAAAATATATCCATTGCCAATCGAGTTAGTATTGTCCAAGTTAATGCCCATGCCCTCCACCATTGAACTAAGTCAAACGATTCTGACGCACTGCCGACTACTAAGCCTTCACTGAGGTACGCCATAAGCTCGTTGAAGCTGCTGCCGCTACTGCCACTTGTTGATGAAGATCCACTTCCACTCACAGCTTCCGTTTGAGTTGTCTTCTTCTTCTTCTTTAACCCGAAAACATTCAAGTATGAATGTGAGTTTTCATCTTGTTGTTGCGGTTCCTGTACTCTAGAGTTTGTGCTTCTAAACCTAATCTCATATTTACTATAAATCTCATATATTTTCGCCTTTATTATTAAAAATTGGTCTATACAAGTGATGCCTAAAAATTCACCTAAGTTTTCTAAACCACTTTCTAATCCGTCTAATTTTAATCTAGGATCAAAAATTGTACCTAAACCATATAACAAAGGCAACTTAGACCAATATTTTTTAAATTTATTTTCCATAGAATGAACAGGAACTCTTAAGATTGGGTCATCCCTATATTCGTGGAATAAAATACTAATTATTACAAGTTCTCCTAAAGCTAAAGGTGATGTTAGGTAGTATGTTCCACTAAGTTTTAGAGTAACTTCATGAAACCTACCCAAAAATTGATACAAATTTCGGCAATTTGCCAATCAAATTCATCTATATGTCATACTCCTAATTTTGCACACATATAGCTTGTTATAGCATCCTTATAAGGGATGCATTGTTGAAGCATAATATAAGTTGAGTTCCATCTTATAGGCATATCTAACGCTAATGCTCTAAGAGGTATTTAATGCTTGTAAAAACCTAAACCAATCTTCTTGTCTTTGGTTACTACCTTGAATCCATGCAAGACTATCTCTAATTCTTTTAATGTGATTACCCATTTCTTTTAAACCGGATTTAACTATTAAATTGATTACATGACATGCACAACGTTGGTGGAAAATAGTACCGTCACCGAATAAACTTAAATCATTTTCAAAGAACTCAATTACTTTTGTATTGGCACTAGCATTATCTAATGTTATAGCCATTACTTTATCTCTTAAACTAAATTCATCAATTACATTTAAAATTGTGTTATATATTAAATCCACGCTATGTGATCCTAGAACACATTTAAAACCTAATATTCTCTTATCTAAATCAAATCCTTTAAAGTAATGTCCGGTTACAACTAAATAATCTTTATTGGCAACGGTAGACTAAATATCTGTCGTTAACGCAACGCACCCGCTAATTGAGTGTAAAAGGTTTATTAATACATCTTTTTCTTTTTTAAATAATTTTAATAAATCTTTCCTAAGAGTAGTTTTTGAAGTGAACTGTGCATTAGGATTGTATACAACCTTAATATATCGTTGCCAATTAGGATGCTCTACAAAACTAAGTGGTTGATCTAAAGCAGCTATCATTCGCACAACTTCTATACGATCTACTTGCGGATCGTATTTCTAAGTGGTTAGACCACCGGTTGCGCGATCAAAAGATAATTGTGTTTGGGGGAGTTCGCTAGATTGGCTAAGCTTTTGAAGACACTTTTCGGAGTGTCGTCTCAAGTGTGTGGTGCCTTGAATAGTGTCACCTTATAATTTAGATAAACAATATTTACACTGAACTATATATTTAGTGTTACCTTCATTATCTACCTCGTCAATTATGTCGAAGTGATCCCAAACTGTCGAGGTACGCTTGCATTTCCTCCTGGAGGTTGCAACACTTGCCGACGCAGACGCAGACGAAGTCGCACTCGCCGCTTCTCCATGCCCACCACCACTATTGCGACCACGACCTCCAGTATGTCCACCAGGGCTCGGATTAGTAGATTCCTGCGTAACAAACTCATTAGTGGAAAATTACCCTTCTTCTACATTGTGTTGGACATGAACGGGAATACCACTATAACCAAAAGGATCCATTATAAAAAAATAAGTTGGATTTGAGAGAGAGAGAGCATTAGGATAATGTGATAGTTTTTAGAAAAATTATGAGAGAGATTGAGAGAGATTGAGAGAAATTGAGAGAAGGGTTGAGAGATTGAAAGAAATTAAGAGAGATTGAGAGAAATTGAGAGGGATTGAGTGAGAAAAATGTGTGGGGGATGGAGGGTATTTATAGGGAAATTTTAGGGTTAAAAAATGATTTTTTTTTTCAAAAAAAATCATGATATAACGGCTATTTTTTATTTTCGGGCAGTCGGACAACTCGGGCAGTTCGGGTTTTTGGGCAGAATTCGGGCAAAAATTCAAAAAACTAGTCATTTCGGGTAATTCGGGCAGTCGGGCACCTCGGGCACCTCGGGCAGGTCGGGCAGATCGGGTTTTCAGGTAGAATTCGGGTAAAAATTCAAAGAACTAGCCGTTTTCGGGTAATTCGGGCAGTCGGGGCACCTCGGGCAGTTCGGGCACCTCGGGTTTTCGGGTAGAATTTGGGCAAAATTCAAAAAAGTAGCCATTACGTGCATTTCAGGCAATCGGGTATCGGGCATTTTTCGGGCACACGACATTTTCAGGCATTTTTCGGGTCGGGCAATTCGGGCATGGTCAGAAAAATTCAAAAAAATTCCGGTGGACGGTGGTAAACAGCGATTAGACGGTGGCGAGCAAAGGAGAATATGCAAAATTCGGACTGCCCGAGCCCGAACCCAAAAATCAACTATGGGCGGGTGGATAATGGGCTTACCCGTCCAAGCCCGAAAAAATTCAGGCTTCGGGCAGCCCGCCGACCCGAACTTCTAGCACTAAAAATCCTTATTCCCTCCTCTCTCTCCCTTCAGAATCTCCGAGATCTCCTCTTCCCCTATGACGCCAGTGCCGGAGTTCATAGCCGTCGAATAAGAGAACACGACCATGCCGAAGGAATGAGCTTTTCGCACATACTCACCCCCGCATTTGTTGTCGCCTTCGTTGCAGCCATCGTCGTCTTCCCCACAGCTGCCGCCTCCACCTTCGACTTCGCCGGCACCACCGCCACTGCCGCTATCACCTCAAGTCCAAGAACAAGTAAGGTTTTTTTTTTTTGTTTTTTTTTTTTTTGAAGTGAACCCTTATATAATGTTTTTGATTGCCAGTCTAACACCCAAACAATGAAACACTAGTTATTTGGTTGGGAGATTCGTACCCGATTCGAATCATGGTTCGTACCCCGATTGCCAGTCTAACACTACAGTGTTTTTTCTCACAAAAAAATACACGTAAATCAAAAATGATTCTAATCTTATGATTCTAATCCATTGACCAAACGTAACCAGGTGCAAAAATGTAGTTTTGAACACCAAACTTCCTCCAGTTCGGAGGTGAAGATTTTTGCTCATGACACAGAGTGTATAATGTGTCACGACCCCAAGGATAGGACCGTGATTATTTTAAAATTTAACTTAATTAAACTGGACTGTTTAACTAAATCACAAAATAATTACATAAATATCAATATAATTTGCTCCGGAGACTTTCTTTCACAAATAATATTTAAAACAGTCCATTAAGTCCAAGAAAAATAGTACAACTCAGGGACAATGTCGACCAATACAGTTTGCATACAGAAATACAGTACATCTCAGAATTTAAAATCATAAATCTGAAACAAACGTACCGCTTCGAATCTTGCATTTTCAATCCATTGGCATCCACTTGTCACACTGCAAATCTAAACCGCTAACTCTGGATGAGGGGTTTAAAACATTGAAAACATAATAAAAGTGAGCGGAATGCTCAGTAAGATATAATTTTATAAAACATTTTAAATAAAGGTACTCACGGTCCGAAGACATACACCCAAAACCGATCATCCTTTTTAGAAAAGGAAATACTCACATAGTAGAAAATATATGTATAATGAAAGTGTGCAGCTCATCATACCATTGAACAAGGAGCGGTAAAATGTCTGTCTAGTGAAAAGTGCAAAGCCATAATTCCACTGAGCAAGAAGTGGATCCGTACGGGTTTCGG